TGAACCTTTCTAATTCTGCTACAGAATTTGGATGCATGGCGCACCCCATAGTACTGATCAGTGTTGAAATTTTCTCGTCCTATTTTCAGCTTTTTTTCAGCATTCTACGGAACGATTCCGGCTCTGTGATCTACTTCTCCAAAACGAAAGAGGAACCTTGTGAAAGGGCTCGATGCCGCTCTACAGCTGAACTGGAGATCTGCTCAATTTTCATCGAAGAGATTGATTAGAAATCGATTATTTATTAATTTATATGGAGCTATTGAATACAATTAGCGGGTTTCTTGGTGAATTGAAGAAATGTGATGAACAAATCATTCTATAATATTATTGATTACTCAAGCCATTGCCTTAAATGTCTTTAATTGATTTTTATAGGCTTGGCCTTACTATTTATCTATTTGTTATGTATCTAGTAATTAGTCCTTCACCGGCTAATGAATTTCTAGCCGTTCACTCCTGTATTACAGATAAACTAAAGATTCTGGTTCCCTCGGAAAGGCGCTGTGTACTTTAGCAGTTGCTGGTTCGATCCCACTTTGCACCCTTCACATTAAAGTGATAACACATTGATTGATGGTGGATTGCTGTCTGATAACGGCCGCTTAACGCTCTGCACTATCAAAGTGGCCAAGGAATTAAATGGCCACTCCGAAAACACCGAGTAGTATATCTCTAATGGGCAGTACCGCCGACAACAGCAGGTCAACCAACTGGGCGAAAATGGCACTCTTTCATCGACCCAACCTCAACATCATCCACATATCACGACATTCCCTAGGTAAACCGTTCTGGCCCTCCCTTCCCTAGCCTTCCCTCCAATTTCCCGAAAAAAAGTCGATCGGCAACAGGAGGGAGTACTACCACGACCGTTCATTTGGAAGCACTTTCCAACATTGGTCCTCTAAGGAGGCTAGCAGAAGCTAAATTAGGAATCCCCCCCCCCCCGAAAAGCCCAGGCGGGAGCTTGATGCTTGATCTTAGGTTGGCAACAACATGTTGTGGCGCCAACATATTCATGGATCGTTAGTTCATGCAACGAAGAGCTCTGTTCTACATCAACCTGAACTTCCCTCACCAAGGTAGAATGTTTGAACTCTGAGCCTGTTTGGGTACGATCAGGCGCATTTTCCGCATAGGAGACTTCAGCAGGTGCTGCCGGCTGTGCAGAGAAACCATCGAAGGGTCATAATATTTTGAACCGAAGCCAAAAGCCTGGCACACACCAAGGACAAGAAGAGCGCTAAATCATCGATCACTGAAAGTTGGTAGTGATGGGTAGCTCAAGCAGAAGCCGATCTTGCGCAAAGGGAACAAGGTCAGCGGGCGCCCCTAGTCATTGCACTTTCTCGTATTAGAGGAATATTTCACCGAGAAAGGAAACACTGAATATTTTTGAAACGGTGAATTTAATTTCAAAATTACAGATTCTAGCCAGACAAATATTTCCACACGGGAATCTATGTGAAATTTACATAGCGAAGGGAATACTGATTTGCGACAAGACACGGGCCGAACACGCACAAGCAGTGTTGGACTGCTGAAACTTCACATTGAACTGAATTCATTTCCAGTCTTTTCCCAGCTTTTCACAGATGCACCGAAGCGTTTTAGCTGGCACTTCGGTACATGGAATGGCCCAACAAGACGCTAGAGCTTTGCAAAGCTTGCTTCAACCGCTTCAGTTTCCTTCCGAACAAGCGGTGGCCCGGCGCTCTCTCACCTCTTGCGCTCTCTCACTTCATATTTTACTGTCCGTGCTCCGTTCCTCATGTCCTTAGCCAAGAAAAAGCCTGACTTTTTTGGTTTGAAAGATGTTTCCCTGGAGAGTTGCAGTCATGCACATCGAAATTGACCGACAAGGGTGCCAGCGTCCCGTAAAGAGTGCTTCGGCAGCTGCGACCGCTTCAGTGTTTCCCGTCCGCAACATCGATTGTCTGAAGCATTGCCTTAGCACAAAAGTGAGCTCATAATTGACGTTGTTGACTAATTCTTTTCTTTTGCTTCATTGCCGGCTTGTTTCGGATATATGCCTGCCTTCATGTTCGCTGGCAAAAATCACCCTAGTTCGATTTTGGGGCGCATCTTCAAACATAAAATGGTTCATAAATCGCGTGACTCTTGGTATTCGCTACAAATGCTGCCAAAATCCGAGTTTTTAGAGAAATTAGTGCACGATACGGGTTTTTTTCGGGAGCTCAGCCTAGTAGGGACTAGAAGTCTGGAGAGAATGAAAACTGCCTATGCGCCCTGAATTCTTTCCACGCCAGAGGTATAGTCTCGTTTTAGACAAGAAGGAGGTGTTTTAGGTGATTTTGAATGTCTTACTATTAACTGCCCTCTATCTTCCGATAGCGCTGGTTTTTATATCCTCCAAGACAAGTCGACGAGTGTCGTACCGACCTCTAACGGCAGAAGCGCTTGATTGTGTTTAGGGAGATTCGGCTAGGGATCTGACATCCGAGTGGTGTTGGTGGGACCACGTGCCGCTGATTCCCTTCCCGTAGCGAGATGGCAATAGTAAAACACGTAAGGTCGAATGAATCAGTCGCGTTCTCACGACCAAGTAGGAAAAACATGTGCATGGCGTATCGCGGAGAACATATTTTGAGCTTTGAACCCCTTGGTAGTGGAACAATAAGGTAGGTTGGGCTACCTCGAAGCTCAAGCTTGTTGTAGCACCCACAAATTTATTTCGAAGAAGCCCCAAAGACTCAACAGAAGGCCAGCCTAGTACACCCTGTGCCTAGATGAATGGTTTTTATTAGATTTGACTTGGTCATTTCATTTCACTTGGATGATTCATTGCTGAAGCTGGGTCTGACTCAACAATAAACATGGGATGGTAACAGCCACCCAACTTTTACACTTTTGATTACGCCGCAATTGCTGGGCATCATATCCTCTCTCAACCCTTCCGGTTCGCTTCCTAAAATCCTTCTTCAAGGTCCAGCTCGGTAACGAGCCCCTACAGACAAGGACTGTGGAGATTTGACCAATAGACCTGAAGTGTGGGCAGTGTAGGTGAATCAGGCATCCCCTAGGATATTCCCGGGCACAGCCGGTGCACACAGTCCGGCTATCGGAAAAACCACAAATGCCAAGGGCCGAAGTACAAAACGCTTTTTCCCTGATAACATAGTAGATAAGAGCGTCGAGTCAATCAGCAGCCGGCCATTATGGTAATTGCTGACAGCCGTCTGGCCCTCCGGACGACATTGTCGGCACCCTGATATTTCCACACCAGACCATCTCCTGGTCCCTTTCGTCATTTATTCCAAGGTGGCTGACGACCACATACCATCGGGGCATTTTATTGATTATTTAGAACAGCTGATATCGATTCACTTCCTCGAGGTCCTTGTTATGATGATGTCCGTAAGATGTGCCGGTTGTTGGATTTATAAACATATCGTTGATTTCATGACTTTTCCGTTATGATTTTAATTGTTCAGTGAATTCCTGATAGATCACACCGGGATGAGCTTTTATAGGGGGGATAGTATTGAAAATCAGAGTATTTCTTTCTGGCTAAATTTGACCAAAATTGGCCGCCATCATTTCCTCAATTCGATTCAGTCTTACGAAACGGTCAGCGAGTATGTCATAATAGAATCTCTGAATCATTGCCATATGATGCGAATGAGACTGGCACGTTTTTTCCTTTTCTTCAACAAGCCCCTCGTTTTGAATACTTTACCTTTGATGTAAGAATTATTGATAAAATATTCAATTTTTACAAAGTTAAATAAAATCAGCTTAATCAGATTCTTCACCCATGAACTTTATGTCACCCTTTCCTGAAGCGCAGTCAACGGACCACCTCGTTAGTTATTAGGGGGCCTGGGATGCCTTATCCTAAACTCGATTCATGTGGAGACTTCGGTAAGAAGCTTGTAAACTCTCTTGTAAGCAATTCTGACTTGCTTCATTCGTTAACTGCTGATCAAAGCCGAGGTGTCGCGTAAATTGAGCTGCACTCAAAGAATACTGGCGTTATTGACAAACTTTTGCCCCAGGCGGACTCGAACCAGCTCCTTGTTCTACCTGGCAACTGCGCCTACAGGTTACCTGTGAGTGCTGATAAGCTATGGTAAATATACCACGGAAAGCTGTTTGGTCGGTCGACGGACTACTTGAACTCAGCCCTTTAAACCTCCTCTGCGCTCTCTCGCGGGTCCCTCTCCTCTCCAAGGCTTAGTCCTAGGGCATTCACCCGTTCTCTAATCGTCTGTGCTCTAGCCATCGCGGCAGGACCATTGAGGAAAAATCAAGTAGTCGCGTAAACGAGACTGAGACGAACCGATGCCCGGTAGCATGACGTGATAGGCGAACGGCCCCGGTGAGCTGCGCGAGGCGCCGAATTCAGGTACCCGCCTGGGCGGAGTTTTGTTATTAACCAGTATTCTTGTGAAATATCTGTTAGGCCTTTTTTCACGGTTCTTGCGAAGTGGGTGCATACATTTCCTTTCAATTCTGAGATTCTGCAAATAATACCCACCCACAGCACTTGCCCTAATGGACTCGTTCTGGGCTCCTTTTGCTCCAGATTACCGCAGGTTTTCAAAAATTGCTGTATTACTGCTTGAGCAGCTTTACCTCATTCCTACCCTGACGGAAAATCGCAGGTTATTAGGTTTAGTCTTCTAAAGCTTGCCAAGGAGTTGAATTTGGTCATGGACAGAAAAGTTCATAGATCCTTACCGATGTCCGCATGCGAATCGAAGAATTTCCGTCTCAACATAATCGACGGCTGAAGAGTTCATGGCGTATCCCTCCAAGCTCATCAGTATCAGCAATAACTTTCGAAAGATTCTCGCTGAGTGATAGTCTGCAGACTTTCCTCTGCAAAGCCCTTAATTCGCAGTGTGTGCAGTGTGTAGTGTGTGGTTTTACCCACCTGTCAGAAAGATTATGACAGCGCTCACTGCTATCGATATGACTTACTGATAGGGAGACTACATTGACGAGAAGGGCTGCCACTGTGGTCACGTAAAGCTGTGAAGAACCTGAACTATAGGTCCTGGCTTGGAATGGTATCACTTTTGGCGCTACTTCCACAACTAGGGCCGGAACAGAAATATTTGCGAAGCTGACGAATCTTTCTTGCACCCACCCCACTCTCTCTAGCAGTCTCTGAACTGAGGCGCAGATTTTGCGATAAGGTCGAACGGTCGAAGAGGAAGCAAACTTTCTGGGGTGTGAAAAGACGGTGCGCGACCACTAAGGA